CTCCTCCCCACACACACACACACCCTCGCGGACAGCACTGCACGAGCACTGCACTCCTCTCGGGCCGGACGAAAGGGGGGGAGTGGGAAAGGGGGGGTTACGAAATGTGCTGCATACAGCTGGTTTCGGCCTCACCGAGGGGCCCATTCCTCGATGCACAGCTCCCTCCGGCGCTGGGAGGCGCTGGGAGAATCAGCTACGTGAGCTGATTCTCAACCCCCCCCTTTGGTATCCCCCCCTTTCGCCCGACCCGATCCTCGAGACGGTCGAGACGAGGCAGGCCAGCCAGGCGGCGAGGAGAGGAAAAACACACACACACACACACACACACACACACACACACACACACACACACACACACACACACACACACACACACACACACACACACACACCCGCACACCCACACACCCACACACCCACACACCCACACACCCACACACCCACACACCCACACACCCACACACCCACACACCCACACACCCACACACCCACACACCCACACACCCACACACCCACACACCCACACACCCACACACCCACACAACCACACACCCACACACACACACACCCACACACCCACACACCCACACACCCACACACCCACACACCCACACACCCACACACCCACACACCCACACACCCACACACCCACACACCCACACACCCACCCACCCACACACCCACACACCCACACACCCACACACCCACACACCCACACACCCACACACCCACACACCCACACACCCACACACCCACACACCCACACACCCACACACCCACACACCCACACACCCACACCCACACACCCACACACCCACACACCCACACACCCACACACCCACACACCCACACACCCACACACCCACACACCCACACACCCACGCACCCACGCACCCACGCACCCACGCACCCACGCACCCACGCACCCACGCACCCACGCACCCACGCACCCACGCACCCACGCACCCACCCACGCACCCACACCCGCACACGCACACGCACACGCACACGCACACGCACACCCACACACACACACACACACAATTTCATCGTCGATTCCCCAGAAAAGATTGGGAAATATGGGAAGTGGGGGGGGGAGGCAAAGGTCCAGAACATATGCGAACATATGGCGAATCCTTTTACTTGTGTCTGTTTATGTGTGTGTGTGTGTGTCCCAGGGCCCCTTCAACTCCGAGGAGGAAAAGGTACCCATGCCGCTGCCCTTCAGCCGTTTTGGGCAGCCATCAAAGAGCCCCCCGCCTGGAGGCGTGTCCGTTATAGCACCAGCCCCAGCCCGAAGGCCGGTCCGTGGAACAGTGGCAGGAACAGTCGTGGTAGCCGAGAAATTGGGCGGAAGAGGAGGGGGATGGAGGAACATGGGGAGAACAGATCGATGGGGGAAACTGATTTAGCAGACATGGTGAAAAAGGGTGCGTGATGGATGATCAGGGTGCGACCTGGGGAGGCGGAGGTTGGAGGAGGAGTGGTCGCGAGAGGGCAAGCCAAGGCCCGGTCCAGTACGAGCACGCTCGCATCGAGCCGACGTGGCAGACAAACAAGGCCCGCAGGAGGAGGAGGGGGGGGGCTTCTCTCGCACTCCCTCTCTGTCCCTTCGCCTCGGCAGACTTGCTGTCGAGCTCTCGCTCTCTCTCTCTCTCTCTCTCCATCTTTCCTTCTCGCTCTCCCTCTCTCCCCTTTCTCTCTCATCCCTTTCTGTGGTCAACATATATATAGAGAGAGATGTATTTGCCCTGCCTCTTCCTCTGTCTCTGCCTGGCTACACATGCACATATATGCACATGTCTACGTACATGCATTTGCACGTGTACATATACAGGTATGTGTGCCTTTATCTTTTTTCTCCTCCTCTCTCTCTCTCTGTTCTCTCTCTCGCTCTCTCTCACACTCTCTTTGTTTTCTATGTCTCTGTCTCTCTTTGTCTCTCTCTTTCGCGCTCTTGCTGATTATGACTTTGATGATGGTGGTGGTACTGTTGTTGATGTGGTGGCGATGGTGGTGATGATTACGATGCTGATGATGATCACGACGATGATGATGACGATGATTAGGATGATGATTTGTGATTACAGTGATGATGACGATTATGCTGAAGATGTTGATGCTGCTGTTGATGATGATGGTGATGGTGATGATGATGCTGATTGAGATGATGATTATGATGGTGATGATGGTGATGAGGAGGACGAAGACGCTGACGATGATGGTGTTGGTGATGACGATGCTGATGATGACGACGAGGACGGCGAAGACTGACGGCCACAACGGTGACGACGCCGACGACTTCGACGATGACGAGATTGATGATGATGATGATGATGATGATGATGATGATGATGGTGGTGGTGATCATGGTTCTGACGACGCCGAAGATGAGGATGAGGATTAGGCTGAGGATGAGGATGAGGATGGCGACGATGCTGCTGCTGCTGGTGATGACGTTCATTATGATTGTGGGGTGAGTGGTGGCGAGACAAGGATGATGATGCTGATGAGGATGATGGTAATATCTATGATGCTGCTGATGATGTTGATGATGATTCTGATTACGAATATGGTGTTGGTGATGATGATGAGTCTGCTTATGACGCTGATGATGATGCTGATGCTGATGCTGATGCGAATGATGCTGGTGCGACTGGTGATGCTACTGATAATGCTGCTGATGATGCTGCTACTGTTGATGATGATTACGCTGCTGATGATGGTGATGCTGATGATGATGCTGAGGATGATGATGATGATGCTGATGATTAGTTTCAGTATAATTTCTAGTATCAACATAAGTATCACACCATTATCTTTACGTGTCGTACTATGATTGTTATTCATTTTTCCATTGTTATTCGTATTGTTCGCATTGCTCGTGCTACTAGTATCATTAGTATTGTTATATTGATGATCATGGGTGTGCTTATGATGCTGATGATGATGATGATGAGGAGGAGGAGGAGGAGGAGGAGGAGGAGGAGCAGGAGGAGGAGGAGCAGGAGGGGTGAGTGAATTATATGGGTGGGTTGGGAACGGAACGCTGCTGCCTCCCCCCTGTCCGCCGTTTTGCGGCGGCCCGTCCGCCCGCGTGCTGACACGTTCGGCCAGGACGCGGGGGCCGCCAAGGCGCTGTGGGGACGAGGAGGAGGAGGAGGAGGAGGAGGAGGAGGAGGAGGAGGAGGAGGAGGAGCAGGAGCAGGAGCAGGAGCAGGAGCAGGAGCAGGAACAGGAGCAGCAGCAGCAGCAGCAGCAGCAGCAGCAGCAGCAGCAGCAGCAGCAGCAGCAGCCAGCAGCAGCCAGCAGCAGCCAGCAGCAGCCAGCAGCAGCCAGCAGCCAGCAGCAGCAGCAGCAGCAGCAGCAGCAGCAGCAGCAGCAGCAGCAGCAGCAGCAGCAGCAGCAGCAGCAGCAGCTAGCAGCAGCAGCAGCAGCAGCAGCAGCAGCAGCAGCAGCAGCAGCAGCACAGCTGGCTATATCACAGATGCTGTGCACTGCGGTCCTCCAGTTTCTGCTCTGGCATGCCGGCGTAGGGACTCCAGTCAGAGGTGTTCCGAGGAGATCTCTTAGGCAGTTTTGAGGTGATCTTGTGGGCCTCTTGGGGCGTCTTGGAGCGTCGGAAAGCCGAAAAGGCGAGAACGCATCCTTCAAAAGCCAAAGGACATATTTGTGCCTCTCGGGGCCCTCCTGGGAGGCCTCTTCGAGACCTCTGTGGCGTCTTGGAGGCTTCTTGGGTCGCCTTCGGGCCATCTTGCGCGTCGTCGAGCGATCTTGGGGCGACTTGGGGCCCTTTTTGAGCATTTTGGGGGCCTCATGGAGCCATCGTGGCTCGCTATGGGGCCCTTTCTGCGCGGGGCTCGCCGACGCGAGCGATGCCGGCAGACCCCGGCAGACCCCTGGCCGGCCTGGGAAACGACTGGCCCGGGCCCTCAAAGATCGGGTATAGCCAGGACCCCGGGTAAGGGGACCTGGTCAGTGGTAGGGCCCTGGGGCCCCTCAATTGGCCAGACTCACTAAACCACGTCTGCCGTAGCTGTTGTTTTTCGGGTGGCGGCAGTTCCGGTTAGTGGAACTGGGGCGGGGGGGCGCCCCCGGTACAAATCACTAAACCAGGTTCCACTAAACCTAGTTCTGCCAACGCCCGAAAAGACTTACCCTTAATTCTGGCTGCAGCAGCAGCAGCAGCAGCAGCAGCAGCAGCAGCAGCAGCAGCAGCAGCAGAAGCAGCACACCCAGACATGATCGCGTCGTGAAAAATCAGGACGTGCGGTTTTTTCCACTATTTTCGGCCCCGGGGGCCCTCGCCGGGCCCCGGGAGCGTCAAAAAACGACTCAGGATGAGAAACCGGCCCTGGGGAAAGGGTCCGAACTTCCGAGGACGCCGTCCTGAAAAAGTTAGGACGTCGCATGTTTGGGCTCTTCTGGCTGCAGCAGCAGCAGCAGCAACACAGCCCTCGTAGTGTTGCGTGAGCCTTGGGGCACTAGACTCCACTTCGTGCCAGAGGCACGGTGGCGGATTCATTTGCCAAGCTAATCCAGGCGATCGTTCCTGCCCTGATTGTTTAGGACTACGACATGTCTCAAACAGGCTGGCCACTCAGTTCTCCCACGTGTTCGAAGGATTTGGTTGTTTTTGAGCCTTGAGCCGTCACTGGTGCTTGCGATGCATAGTTTGAAGCTGGCCCCAGCACATGTTGTGTTAATCCTGTAGGTCTGGCTATCGCCTGGCACGTCTCAGTTTAAGTGAGTTTCGCGCTCATGTGGTTTCTTCTCGCTTCGCCTGGTTCGAGCCACCCCTGGAACTTCCCATACTTGGCAGCATAGTCCAGCATGGCAATCTGGTTTGTGCATCTGGCCTGCAGCAGCATCGGCAGACTCGACAGGGACTCTCTCATGCTTGACGCGCATCTTGGCCCAAGCCTTTGCTCGGGTGCACGGTGGCTCGGCCGCTCGGCCGCGGCTGCTGAATCTGAAAGCGCTTGCGAGTCCCGGCGATGGTGTCTCTTCCACCGGTCGACACCTGGGACTTCACGAGCGGCGAACGTATCCATACCCACGCCGTCGCGGTCTGGATTGGGGCGCGGTCCCGCGGACACGCGGTCGCACGGATGCGTTCCGCGCGGGCCATCCGCGAAAGCACGCCCCGTATCCGCGCGGTCGCGGCCTAAGGGCCGGGCCCGCGAGGCCGCGGATCCGGACATGTGAGGAGGAGGAGGAGGAGGAGGAGGAGGAGAAGGGGGAGGAGGAGGAGGACGAGGACGAGGACGAGGACAAGGACGAGGACGAGGAGAAGGAGGAGGAGGAGGAGGAGGAGGAGGAGGAGGAGGAGGAGGGGGTGTTCCTCGTCCACCGAGGACTCCAGCATCGTCGTGCGACGCACGTTTATCGAGGAGGTGGCCACGCCCAGAGCCGCCGACGGCTTGGGCAAGCGGTCCTGCTCCGACTCGGCGCTGTTCCAGATGAGCGGGCAGCAGCACGGGCAGAGCGCGAAGGACGAGGCGGCGTGCGCTGGCAAGCACGCGAAGGACGAGGAGGAGGAGGAGGTGGAGTTCGAGCTCTGTGGCCTGTCCGACGCGGGGTCGGTCGACACCTGCCCGGAGCGGCTCAACGACGACGACGGCACCGCGGGAGCCCTGCCGTGCTATGCGCACCTGCAGGAGGTCGATTCCTCCTCCTCCTCCTCCTCCTCCTTTCCCTCCTCCTCCTCCTCTCTCTCCTCTCCTCCTCCTCCTTCCCCCTCCTCCGCCTCCTCCCCCTCCTCCTCCCTTCCTCTTCCTCCTCTTCCTCCTTCCTCTTCCCTCCTCCTCTCCTTCCCCCTCCTCCTTCCTCGTCCTCCTCCTCCTCCTCCTCATCCTTCCCCTCCTCCTCCTCCTCCTCCTCCTCCTCCTCCTCCTCCTCGTCCTCGTCCTCCTCCTCCTCGTCCTCCTCGTCCTCGTCCTCCTCCTCGTCCTCCTCCTCCTCGGCCGCAGATTTCTTGTCCCAGGGAAAACCTTTCACTGTTCTAAACCAGATTTTTACAGTTCAAAAATTTAGAGGTGTTTTTTTTTCAATGTTCGGAAGTTTGGAAAACATTGAAGTTCTCAGGGGTCCAGGGTTTTCGGGGTTCCTGGCCGCCTGAGCTGCAGATGTCCTGGCCCCGGGAGTTTTTTATACAGAAAATGGTTGGAATTTCTACGAGCGTTTTCTTCTTAAAAGCTGAAACACCTCGTGAACAAAAAGCATTGAATGAGCTTCTCAGGGGTCCGGATTTTTAGGGGTTCCTGGCCGCTTGAGCTGCAGCTGTCTTGGCCCTGGGGGATTTTTTACATAGAAAAAGCAAACACGAATTGTCAGAACTTTATTTTTTAAATGCGATAGAAAACTGATTCTGACACCCTCCTCCGTGCACCTATTTTGGCTCAAGATGGAAAAGAGATATCTTGTCCATCGGCATATTATCTCATCATGGTAGCGTGAGCTGGCCACTCACTGCTGCGACCCACCAGGGCCTCGGCGCGCCCGCGGGCGCCACGGCGAGCTGGCCAGAGGCTCGAGGCTGGAAGAGGGCGGCATCGGTCGCACCTGTCAACGCACCGAGCTCGGCAGTGGCCGAGCCACCGGCAGAGGCCGGGAGGAGTCAACCGGCAAGGACCGGGAAGAGCGGCCGCAGGCGCGGCAAAAGGAGTGAGGCAGCGGTCGAGACCAGGCGCAAGCAGCTCCAGTTTAAGCACGACTTGAGGGATACAGGCAACAAGCTTCACGACCTCGCATACATCGAGGACCATCCCTCGGAGAATTCGTCGGACGCCATCGAAGAGGCGAAGAAGGAGGTCCTAGACCGGATTATAGACCTCGAGCGTACGAGGCAGGAGATAGCTGAGAGCAGGGAGGAGCTCGCCAAGAGACACGCCGTCAAACATGGACGAGCAAGTTCGGCAGCAGTTCGAATTACTGAGGCAGGAGTTCGCGGCTCGAATGAGTCAGACCGTCGACGAGATGCGGAGGCTGGAGAACGAGAATCAGCGTCTTCAGCAGCAGGTGGCAGGAGGCCTCGCGGCAATTCCGCAGGCGATAGAACGCATGGGCGAGCAGATCAGAGGTGCGACGAACGCGGGAGGATCCGCTCCCGGTCTCGTAGACACCAAGGGGATTGGCAAGCCCACAACGATGGGCGACGATCAAGAGAAGTTCGGAGCTTGGAATCGCAAGATGGAGAACTACGTGATAGGCGTGTACGGAGAGAGCTTTCGTCCTGTTCTTCGGTGGGCTGCAGAAGCCGAACGCCCCGTGACGATCGAAGGGGCACAGGAGGCGCACGGCGGAGTACCAGAGCTGGAGACCAAGGTCAACCAGCTGTACGCGGCGCTGATCAGCACGACGGCGGACGGCAGCGAGAGCAACGACCTCGTGACGGGCGCCCCCGACGGGAACGGTCTCGAGGCCTGGCGGAAGCTTCACCGCAGGTGGGACCCGACGACAGGTCCGAGGAAGAGGCTGATCCTGAGGTCGATCATCTCGCCTCCGAAGTGCAACGCGGAAGAGCTGGGGTCCGCCTTAGAGAAGTGGATCCAGCAGATAGGCAGGTACGAACGCCGCCAAGGAGAAGACGGGCTGGCCGAGCTGCCGGAGGATATCAAGATGGCGGCCCTCGAGATGCTCGTGCCTCAGGACATCGAGAACCACCTCGTACTCAACAAGCATCGGCTCGTGACGTTCCAGGACAGTCTGAACGAGGTAATGACGATCGTAGAGGCTCGGACCGGCGTGAAGATCAAGGAGCCATCGATCCGTGCACGGGCGCATCATCCGGACGACATGGACGTCGGATCGTTCGGAGCCCCGAAAGGAAAAGGCAAAGGCAAGGGCAAGGACGGCAAGAGCAAAGGGAAAGGCAAGACTCAGGAGCCGAAGGGGAAGAGCAAATCGACGAACGGATCATACTCAGGCTCCCGCACATCCCCGACGGGTTCGGGCCGTGGTTCAGGGCACACGGCACCTCGAAGCACCGGCGGGCGCTTCGACGGCTACTGTCGGAACTGCGAGAGATGGGGCCACAAGGCATCCGACTGCTGGAGGAAAGAGCAGGGATCGAGTACGAGGGCTGGAACTGGATCCGCAACGGGGGCAAGCGCTGGTGGTAAAGCCGGCAGCCGCGGCGGCAAGGCCGGCGGCAAGGCGGCAGGCAGCCTGGAGGAGGAGCCTGAAGCGGAGGTCGCCGCTCTGGACATGGGCAGCTTGGACTGCCTGGAGCTCGCCAGCGGCAGCGGCCGCGGCGTAGCGGCGGTCGACCTCTCCCCCTTCGCGCAGGACGACTGGATGAAGTTCAACTGGGACAGCGGTGCAGCTGTCTCAGCATTCCCTCGGAGCTTCGCGCCGCCGACGGGAATGAAGGGCAACGGCAGCACGTATCGTACGGCCAGTGGTGAGCTCGTCCCGGACGAGGGCAGCTTGCAGCTCAAGGCGGAGGACGAGTACGGAGTGCTACGAGCGCTCAAGGGACGCGTGACGAACGTGCACAAGCCGTTGATCTCGGTGGGGCAGGCAGCAGGAGCTGGACAGTGTTCATTCCTAGGCCGCAATGGCGGCTGGATATTCCACGAGAAGAGCCCAATCGGCAAGCGCGTGGTAGGCATGCTGGAGAAGGAGGCGAGGACGGCGAAGCACCAGATGCTGCCGGTCTATCGTGAGCAGGGCGTCTACAACTTCTACCTCAAGAAGGGCCAACATGGCTCGGTTGCTCCTCTCGAGGAGGGACTTTCGGCGAAGTCGAAGTCCGAGCTGGTGGAGCTCCTCAGCGGCAAGTCGAAGGAGGAGCTGCTGGAGATCCTCGAGAGGACAGTCCCCAGGAGGCAGCCCTCGGCGTAAGTCCACTGGAAGACTCAATACCGCGGTCCCCTGCGGCATCGGCTGCAGGGGCGGCAGCGGCGGGGTCGGGACCTTCCGACATGAGACCGCCGGGTTTTCAGCCAGCGGCAGCTGCCGCGGCCGACGTTTTGCCAGCTGCTCCTGATGGACAGCAGGCCGACGAGGGCGAGGAGGAGGCTCGCCCGAGGGTGCTGAAGGCACCTCATGAGCCCTCTCAGAGGGAGATCGCCGAACACGAGGCGATGGGACACGCGACTTATCGCAGCTGGTGTCGCGTGTGTATTGCGGCAAAGGGCCAAGGCCAGCCGCATCTCCGCGCACCGGAGGACGACGAGACAGCGGTGCCGGTGGTCTCGTCCGACTACGCCTTCATGGGCCAGGACGACGCGGACACCATGCCGATGCTGGTACTTAGGGATCGGCGCTCGAAGATGATGGCGGCGACATTCGTGGAGAAGAAGGGCGACGACGCCTACGCCATCAAGTTCTTCGCACGCTTCTTACGGATCCTGGGCTACAGGAAGATCGTCAACAAGTCCGACGGCGAGCCAGCGATCCTGCTGGTCAAGAGGCGTGCGGTGGAGGAGGTTCCTGGCCTCGAGGCCATTCCCCAGGAATCGGCACCGGCCGATCATCAGGCCAATGGGGAGATCGAGGTCACGGTGCGCGAGATCAAGAAGCAGGTGCGGGCGCTCAAGATGGACCTGGAGTCCAAGCTGGGCGTCAAGGTGGAGGACAAGCACCCGGTGCTAGCGCACCTGCCGGAGCACGCCGCATCGGTAATCAACCGATACCGGCGCGGCCAGGACGGCAAGACCGCTCTTCAGCGGCTCACGGGACGGCAGTGGAGGAAGCCGGTCCCGCTCTTCGGTGAACGCCTGATGGTGCGGTTCGCCGGGGAGCGCGCGAGGAAGAACGCGCTGGAGGAGCAGATGGTGGAGGCTCGCTACATCGGCCACCACCCGCGCGACGGCTCGATGATGGTCATCACGAGCGACGGTGTGAAGAAGGCGGTCGGCTTTCGCAGCCTGCCGCAGAGCGAGAAGTGGATCACGGCGGGCTGGGACAGCCTGAAGGGCCTGCCGTGGGACGTGGCTCCGCGTGCGGCAAGCGCGCCGCGGGCCATCGTCGGACCTGGAGAGGTCGGTCCGCCACCGATTGTGGTGGTGCCGCCGCAGCCGCAGGCGCCGAGGAGGATGTACGTCCTCAAGGCGGACGTCGAGCGGCTGGGCGCAACGCCAGGATGCCCAGGGTGCGTCTCGATCGCCAAGCACGGCAAGGTGCTGGCTGGCCATGCGCACAACGCGGTGTGCAGCAAGAGAATCTTCGAAGCGCTGGACGCTGAGGAGGCAGGCCGGGAGAGGACCGGCCAGTATCGAGAGCGGAGGCAGGGCCAAGAGGCCAGAGTCCGACCAGCGGCAGCGGCCGCGGCAGGGACCCCTCCGCCGAAGACGGCTCGGAGGATCACCGAGCCGGTGGCAGCGGCGGCGTCGGCGTCGGCCGCGCCGGCCGCGACCCGATCGGCAGCAGCGCCAGCCGCGGCAGCCGCAGCGGCGCGCATGCGAGAGAGCCAGCCGGTAGCATCAGGCTCCGGCGTGGCGGCTCCTTCAGGAGGAGCGAGCTCCAGTTCGGGAGCAGTGCGAGCGGCAGAGGCCGCCGAGGATGTCGACATGACCGCGACCAGGTCGCGGCTGAAGCGCTTGGCGGAGGTGGCCCCGGATGACGTGCCGGAGGCCCTCGAGCGCGGTGATCCACAGCCGGCAGACGTGCCGGTACCGGTGGACATGGAGGATCTCGCGGCGCAGCCGGCGCCAGCGGAAGGACCTCAGCTGCCAGCTGGAGTGGCAGTCGTGTGGAACGCCAGTGAGGGGAGACACATGCGGGTGCTCGCTCTCGACGTGGCGTCGATCGAGCTGGTCGAGCTCGGAGTGCTGACGAGAGCGAAGGCGGAGTTGCTCCCGCTCGTTCGCGAACAGGTCAGCGGCCATTGGGCCAGCGTCGGCGTGGACATCGCCGACGAAGAGGTGGACAGCATCGCCTTATCGGCGTTGCAGCTGGGCGCCGTGGACGTGGCAGAGGTGTACTCGCCACATCGGTTCTCGGCTCGGGCAGCGGAGTTTCAGCTGCGCCCGGGCTTCGCGGCGGACCTGGAGGAACTCAAGGAGGACGGGACGCCGTGGGACTTGCGGCGACCCGAGGATGTCAAGGAGCTCGAGGAGCAGCAGGAGCGGATGGATCCCATCCTGCTCACGGGGTCCCCTCCATGCGAGAAGTTTAGCTTGCTGAGGGGCCTGAGCGCCAAGTTCAGGACCGATGAGCAGGAGGCGGCTGAGATGGAGGAGGCCAGACACCACCTGAAGGTGGCAGTCGACGCCTACTGGCGTCAGCTCAGGAAGCCAGGCAGGTACTTCCTGCATGAGCATCCCTGGAGCGCGCGATCGTGGAATGAGGACATCGTCAAGGAGCTGGTCGCGCATCCAGGAGTCTTCACGGTCAAAGGCCCCATGTGTCGGTGGGGCATGAAGCTCACGAACCCACGCAGTGGCCAGGAGGAGTTCGTGCGCAAGGAGACCGGATGGGTCACCAACCACCCAGGCTTAGCCCGGAGGCTGCAGGGCACTTGCAGCAATGTGGACGGCCGCGCGGAGTGGCATCGCCACATCACGCTCGTGGGCGGCATCGCGCGGTTCGCGAAGGTCTATCCACCGAAGTTGGTGGAGGCGGTGCTGGAGGAGCTCAAGGACACGCTGAATGACGTGGGAGAGCTCAGCACCGCCCAGGTGCAGCAGTCGGGCCCAGTCCCTGTGGACGCGGCAGTGCCGCCCGGGGACTGGACGAGTTACTGGGACGACGTCAATGGCGGCTACCTGGAGGCGGGCCTTGTGGCCCAGGCTCGCGCGGTCGAGCGCGAGTGGGTCAAGAAGCAGGAGCTGATCGAGATCGTCCCGAGGTCCCAGGCTTTCGCTGAGACTGGGCGTCCGCCCATCCCACTCAAGTGGGTCGACACGAACAAGGGTGACGCGGAGAGGCCCAACTACAGGAGCAGGCTCGTCGTGAAGGAGATCAAGGCGAAGAAGCGTCCTGACGAGCAGCTGGAGGCGTCCGAGGTCTTCTCGGCAATGCCTCCTCTGGAGGCCATGCGGTCGCTGGTCTCGCTGATGGTCACGTGGACGCGGGAAGCACCGCTCCACATTCAGGAGTCGCTTCGCAAGAGGGGCAGGAAGCCGGGCAACTTCAAGATCGGCTTCTTCGACATCAGCAGGGCGCACTTCTATGGGAAGGCGCAGCGGAGGATCTTCGTGGAGCTGGAGGAGGAGAGTCGCAAGGAGTACGGCGAGGACAAGTGTGGCTTACTCCTCAAGTCCTGGTACGGCACGCAGGACGCCAGCAAGATCTGGCAGGGCGACTACACGGAGCTGCTGGAGGAACACGGCTACAAGGCGGGCGTGTCGTGCCCAGCGGTCTTCTACAAGGAGGTGGACGAGACGAGGCTGCTGGGGCACGGCGACGACTTCGCGGTGCTGGCTCAGCAGCAGGACATCGACAGCTTCGAGGCCACGTTGGGCAAGAAGTACGAGTTCAAGAAGACTGCGAACCTCGGCTTCGACGAGGGCGATGACAAGCAGGCGGTCTTCCTGAATCGGGTCATCGAGGTCAGTGCGGGAGTTCCGCCTGGCGGTGGCCGACCCTGCCGGCATGCGCTGATCGAGCCGGACAAGCGGCACGCGGAGATCGTGATCGACGAGTTGGGTCTCAGCAAGGCCAACGGCGTGGACACGCCGATGGAGAAGCGCAGCGCCGACAAGCAGATGATGGATGCGAAGTCGGCGGCGCTGGGAGCAGCGGAAGCTTCGCGCTTCCGATCCCTCACCATGAGGGTGGCCTACCTGTCTCAGGACAGGCTGGACTTGGCAGAGGCATCGAAGACGCTCGCTAGGTCCATGCAGACGCCGACGGAGGCGAGTTGGCTCATGCTCAAGAGGGTTGGCCGCTACCTCAAGCGGCATCCTAGCACGGTGACGGTTTTCACGGAGCAGAAGATGTTCGACAAGATCCGGGTGTGCGTGGACTCCGATCATGCGGGCTGCGCAGTCACTCGGAAGAGCACCGGAGGCTTCGTGGCGATGCTGGGGCATCATGTCGTCAAGCATGGCAGTAATCTGCAGTCGACGGTTTCTTTGAGCAGCGGAGAGAGCGAGTACTACGCCCTGGTGAAGGGCGGGAGCGTGGGCCTGGGTCTTCACAGCCTCTTCGCGGACTGGGGGCTAGACCTGAAGGTGGAGCTCGCCTCAGATTCATCGGCGGCCCGGGGCCACGTCCAACGGCGAGGTCTCGGGAAGATGCGACATGTTCAATCACGATACTTGTGGATCCAGGAGCGCGTGGGTAAGGGCGACCTCTCGATCGCCGCGGTTCCTGGTAAGAACAATGTCGCGGACGTGCTGACCAAGAGCGTGGGTGGATCTCTTTTGAGGAGACACATGGCGACGCTCAACATCTGGGATCGGGCACCGAGTTCGACCCAGAAGGACTTCAAGTGAAGGAGTGGATCGAATCCATGCTCCGCTACCTGTGGGGCTGGATGAGGTTCCGCCGGCGGCGGTATGATCGCACCGGACGGACGAAGTGAGGGGCTCGCGGCATGGCCGCAGCCTAGCTGATGAAATGGGCGCGTCGGCTTGGGCGCGCCCGCGTACGACGCAGGTCGTGCCTGGCCGGGTTGGCGGCCAGGCCCGAGGAGGAGTGATTCTGACACCCTCCTCCGTGCACCTATTTTGGCTCAAGATGGAAAAGAGATATCTTGTCCATCGGCATATTATCTCATCAAAAACACAACAATTATTTGTCAAACAACAGACATTGACATTCTCAGGGGTCCGAAATTTTCGGGGTTCCTGGCCGCCTGAGCTGCAGGTGTCTTGGCCCTCGGATTTTCCAATTCAAGTTTTAGCATGTTCAAGTTTTCCACTTTAAAAAATGAGAATTTCAGGGATTCCGAGTTTTCGGGGTTCCTGGCCGCCTGGGCTGCAGATTTCTTGGCCCTCTGAAAATTACATGTGAAACCAACATGTGTAAACTTCAGAACATATGGAAGTATCTTAAATATCTTTCAGTTTCTTATTTCATGCATTTGTTGTTGACATTCAGGGGTCTAGAGTTTTCGAGTTCCTGGTCGCCTGAGCTGCAGACTGATTGGCCCTGGGGAAATGTCTCAATTGTTCAAAATTCAAAACTGTAGAGTGTTTTTGACGTTGATACTTTGAACTTCTCCGGGGTTCGGAGTTTTCGGGGTTCCTGGCCACCTGAGCTGCAGATTCCTTGGCCCTGGAGAACTTGATCTTTCTGTTAAAAAATGAGATGCCCAGGGGTCCAGAGTTTCCGGGGGTCCTGGCCGCGTGGATTTCAGTTTCCTGGTTCCTGGCCGCCTGGGCTGCAGATTTCTGGGCCTCTCGGGGTTCCTGATTGCATGGGTTGCAGGATGATGATGATGATGATGATGATGATGATGATGATGATGATGATGCTGATGCTGATGCTGATGCTGATGCTGGTGCTGGTGCTGGTGATGATGATGATGCTGACGATGATGCTGATGCTGATTGTGATGCTGATGATGATGCTGATGCTGATGCTGCTGGTGATGATGATGCTACTGATGATGATGATGATCTTGATGATGGACATGACGATGGTGATGATGATGTTGATGCTGTTTTTGATGGTGATGATGATGCTTGTGCTGATGCTGATGGTGCTGCTGCTGATGCTCATGATGATGCTGATGCTGATGATGATAATGATGCTGATGATGATGATGGTGGTGGTTGTGGTGGTCGTGGTGATGGTGATGGTGCTGGTGACGGTGATGAAGACGATGTTGATGATGATGTTGATGTTGCTGATGATGTTGCTGCTGATGATGTTGATGATGATGCTGATGCTGATAATGCTGATGATGATAATGATGATGATGACGATGATGACGATGACGATGCTGATGATGATGATGATGACGATGATGATGATGATGATGATGATGATGATGATGATTATGATGATGATGAGGATGATGATGCTGATGCTGATGATAATGATGATGATGATGATGATGATGATGATGATGATGATGATAATGATGATGATGCTGATGCTGATGCTGATGATGATGATGATGATGATGATGATGATGATGATGATGATCATAACAGTGATGATGATCTTGATGATGACGGTGATGATGATGGTGGGGATGATGATGATGATGATGATGATGATGATGATGATGATGATGATGATGATGATGATGATGATGATGATGATGATGGTGATGATGAGGAGGAGGCGGAGGAGGAGGAAGAGGAGGTGGTGGTTGAAACAGCAAGAGGAGGAGGAGGAGGGGGAGAAGGAACAGGAGAAGGAGGACAAGGGATATGTGATGAAGGATGTGTGTGGAGGAGGGAGGAGGAGGAGTGGAAACGGTGTAGGGTGTGGGGATGGATGGGGGGGGGGGGAGGAGAACAGGGGGGGCGCGGGGGCTGCACAGTGGTACGGATTGCCATTCAAATCCGTACCACTGTGCAGCCCCCGCGCCCTCTCCGAGTCACGCCGAACGCAGTATCCGCCACCGTGCCGCGAGGCGCGAAGTGTGGTTTTCCCCAGGCTAGGCTACCCCAAGACGGGCCAAGAGGGCCCCAGAAAGCGCCCAAGAGGGTTCAGGAGACCTCCAAGACAGCCCAAGAGCGCACTAATACGCCCAAGATGGCCCAAAGACGGCCCACGAGGCCCCAACGCAGCCCCAAAAGCGCCCCAAGAGGACCTCCAAGAGGGCCTTTGGGGGCCCTCTGGGGCGTTTCGGGCTCTCCAGGGGGCGCTCCAGACACAGCCGCCCCGACAGCATTAACAGCTTTTTTTTTGTGTGTGTGTGTGTGTGTGCGTGTGGGGGAAATTGTATTCGTTGGATTAGCGCAGTTGTGCAATCATGACTACTCCTATGTATGAGTGACTACAGATACACGTATATCATCACGCATATAACTATATACACTGTTGTATACGCACGTGTTGCACGCATTTTATAGTTAACAAACGTATATATGTATATGCATACATACGTTGATGTATATGTATATCTACACATGCTTACTACAATAAGCATACCGGTCCTGCCGCATTTGCCCGCTCAAGCGTTGCAGGGGAGCGGATCCCTCACATGCGTTCTGCAGGCTTCGGACTCCACATCTTCTGTCATATCGGCGCCCTGGGCCTGGCGCGCTGGTGGTGGACTTCGCCGGTGGCGCTGGCGCCTCAGGCCGTCGCCAACGAGCGGCTTGCGCCTGCCACCGCGGGTCCCCTCGGCCTTGAGCTTGGGACCGTGGTGCCCCTGGCGGAGTGCCTCGCCGTGGTGCTCGAGGCGCAGGGGGCGGCGCCGGTCTGCCCCGACCCGTGTACCCCTTGCCCAGCCTGCGAGGCAGGGGAGGCGAGCTGGGGCTTCCAGCTGGGTGTCGGCGCGGTCGCCTTCGTGCTGGTGGAGGCGTTCAAGGCCGCCGTGCGGGTGATGGGCAGCGCGCTGCGCTGGCTGTGCCGCTGGCAACGGCCGCTAGTCGCCCTGGCCGAGACACCGAGGTTGGTAACGGTTGCGAGCGTCGGGCTGGAGAGGCTGGCGGCAGAGCAGGCCAGGGCGAGTGGGGCGCGTAGCCATTGCAGTGGCCTGGGCAGCTTCGCCGACTGATGGCCAGGGCGTTCCACGCCGTCCGCTACTGGCCCCGTCATTCGGCACGAACGGCTCACGATCGCGGAGCGTTGGGCGCTAAGCTTCGTGCTGATGCCCAATTTCGACGACTACGACGGGCCGAACTCGCTGGGGCCAGACGTGACGGTGTTGCGCATCCCGGGGCAGGGCGCCAGCCCGCTCGCGCTAGCTGGCGGGCACGTGCACCGGCTGGCGACAGCAGCAGGGTTCCTGGCCCCGCCGCCGCGCCCGCTCCGGCTGGACCTCGCGGTCGGCAGCGCGGCAGGCGCGCCGCCAGGGCAGCGCGCGCTCCACGACCCCGGTGGAGGCGCGGCGCCAGGGGCTGCAGGCGCAGGAGGGATCGCCGCAGGCGGTCCGCCGGCCGGGGCGTTGGTGGCGGGGCCTCCCGCGGCGGGAAGCGGGCTCGCCAGCCTGGTGGCAGCGCTCGGCGGCCTTGTGGCTGCGGGAGGTGCTGGGGCCGCCGCTGTGCCGCCCGCCGCCGGGGCTTTTGCGGCCCCCGCCGCGGCTGTGCCTCTGGCCGCGCCCGCGGTGGCCTCGGCTGCAGCCGCCCCGCCGGCCGCGCCGGCGCCGCCGCGAGCTTCCCGACGGCCGGCAGCGTGACATTTCCCCCCTCCCTATCCCCGACTTCCTTCGCCCTCAGAATGTTCCGACGACGCGCCGCGCTGTCGGAGGCCCGCCAGCGGGATCTGACAAGCTTTCCAAAGGAACCTTCGGCGCGCTCCTTGACGGCTCCGCTCTTTACTTTTCGGGCGGAGGGGCGGGTGCTCCTTTCCGGCGAGACCTCGTCTCATGGCCCGCCGCACAGGTCGATCTTGTTCCGCTCGAGAGAGTTGCCGCTCGGCCGCATTTGAAACAGCTGGAGTTTTGGCAAGACCAATTGCGTCTCCCAGAGTCTGACGCGTGGGCCATGCAAGAAAAAGTTTGCCCACGGGGGTCCCGTGTAGATCCCATTCTCAAGAATTCGCCGTGGCGGTATGCCGAGTTTTTGGCAGATATGTCCTCGAGGAATGTTTTCCTGGGGGCGCGCCGAAGGGCGTCGCGGCAATCTGTTTTTTTTGTTCTGTCACTACAGAGGAGTAGTCAAACATAGTAAAAATAGTCTGGGTACGATTGTTCGTTTTTTTATGTGCATGTTTAGGTTTTTTGTGGGGGGGAATTTGTCCTCCAGAATCTGTCTGTAGGGGGACAACCCGACCTGACACTTGGCAGCATCCAGCCCCGTGGATAGAACTCGCCGAGCGCGTTCCACTGCTCGCAAAATGCCTGCCCGCAAACGTCAGCAGCGTCGAGCGTTGTTCGATGCAGTGGGGCCTGTCTGCCTCGACGTGCAGCGAGTCCAGGCCGCCTGCGAGTGGCTGCTTTGCGGGTAGTGGAGCGCCCTTGTCTGAGAGCGGGCTGGCTCGAAAGGGCGGTGGAGCAGTCCGCCCCCCGAGCACGCCCGAGGACCCAAGGAGCGACGGCGCGGAGCGACGGGCGCGGGAGAATTTCGTCCTTGGTTGGACGACGTCCCGAATTGCAGCTCGCCCTCGTTGCTGATTTGGCGGCAGTGCCTGGGCCCGGCCCGCCACGCAAAAGGCACCACGTGCCCCAGCGGGCATGCTGGGGTGGAGGGGGACAGAGGAAGGTCGGGGGCGGAAAAGAGGGGGGTGATGACTAGGGGGGGTGGATATCATGGCGGGGGCCACGATATCTCCCCAGATTTCGTGGCGCCTCTTCTTGTTTCATTACGTCCCTGGCCCCCCCGCTGGGCCGCGCACGTGCCGCCGGTCATGATTTGCACCCCCCCCTCTTGGACACCCCCTTCTTGGCCGCTCCCGAGAAGGACCAGCAGCAGGGATGTGTCCACAGCCGCTGCCTGGGGGACCGCTCCAGGCGGCGGATATGGACAGATTCGGACCCGCCGTGGCCACCCCTCTGTCCACATCCACCGGTGTCTCGGGCCCCATGACATGGGTTCCCCATGTGGTGCTGGATATGCGTCAATTCCCGCCTCCGGAAAGAGAGGCAGAGAACGCCTCGCCGTCAACGCCCGAGGTTCGATACAACTAGCCGCTCGTTCCGTTCACCACCCGCCATCAGCTGGCTGGCGTGCTACATCCAGTTGACCAGACTGCCGTTGAATCGGCCTTGCCGTTTGAGTCTCCTTCCTCCCTCCTCCTCCACTTCCTCCTCCTCCTCCTCCTCCTCCTCCTCCTCCTCCTCCTCCTCCCTGCCTCACTCATTCTCTCACTTCCTCACTCCCTCACTCCCTCACTCCCTCACTCTCTCCTCCTCCTCCTTCTTCTCCTTCTCCTCCTCCTCCGCCTCCTCCTCTTCCTCCACCTCTTGCTACTCCTCCTCCTTTTCCTCCTCCTTTTCCTCCTCCTCCTCCTCCTCCTCCTCCTCCTCCTCCTCCTCCTCCTCTGGTGCATGGTCACCACCATTCTGGTCTTCTCAGACAGCCATCGTATAGTACTACCGCTCTCACATGCGCCACGAAGCTCAGCCGCCTTTCTCTAGCCAGTTCATTGCTGCTGCCGCCCGCGCTGCTCACAGGGAGCAGAGAGATGCGGCAGCCGCGAACCCGCCCCGCCGAGTCAAGTTCCAACGCATCTATACAGTCAAGCGACGCGACCAGACTTTCAAGTCGCCTTTCACGGTCACGCTTGCCAAGCGCGTCCTCGCCTTGGGACTTTAAGCGCCCACCGAACCTGGAGAGCTACAGAAGCGTTGGGAGGCACTGACCGTCACTCTCAAGCAATTGCGCCCGAGCTGGCGCTGGGCTACATTCAAGACCACCAGCGGTGATTGGTCGATCGCGGCTAGGATGCACATCCTTCAGCAGCGCAAGTGCGCGTTCGGATGCACGGACGCACCTGATTCATTCCCGCATTACATTTCTTGCCCCGCCCTCTCGAGGCTCCTCTGGCTCCCTGACCTCCCCCTCATCCAATCAACGCTGACGACATTGGGGCTGGGCCCTGCCGCAGCATATGCAGCTGACCCCACCAGTCCTATGTCGTTGCCGACCACGGTCTCAAGGATCGTACTGGCATTCTATATTTACAACAAGATGTAGTACACTGCCAGCGCGCGCACGGCGGCTGTCTCGCAAGCAGACCTGGTCGCCTCGCGCCGTGCAGCACTCGCATTACTATACAGGTAGACGCGCTAGGCCAGAACACAGCGGCAGAGACTGACTCATTTGTCCTCTTCTCGTTCGTGCTCGTGTCCGCCTGCCCTCTTCTTTTCTCAGGGTACCCATTGTCCTTTTCCTTCTCCTCCTCCTCCTCCTCCTCGTCTTCCAGGTCAACGAGCCCCAGTCGCCCGGAGCCAAGTCTGCCCGTGAGCCGAAGTCGTTGGGCGGCGCCGCCGCGCCAGCGCCCTGCTCCATCGCCCTGGGCCACTTACTTCAGGAGATCCCCATCCCCCCCTCCTTGCGGAGTGGGGGGGGGGGCAATGAAGGAAAGGAGAATGGATGGGGGGCGAGAGGGAGGAGGAGGAGGAGGAGGAGGAGGAGGAGGAGGAGGAGGAGGAGGAGGAGGAGGAGGAGGAGGAGGAGGAGGAGGAGGAGGAGGAGGAGGAGGAGGAGGAGGAGGAGGAGGAGGAGGAGGAGGAGGAGGAGGAGGAGGAGGGAGGGGAGGAGGAGGAGAGGAGGAGGAGGAGGAGGAGGAGGGGAGGAGGAGGAGGAGGAGGAGGAGGAGGAGGGGAGGAGGAGGAGGAGGAGGAGGAGGAGGAGGAGGAGGAGGAGGAGGAGGAGTAGGAGGAGGAGGAGGAGGAGGAGGAGGAGGAGGAGGAGGAGGAGGAGGAGGAGGAGGAGGAGGAGGAGGAGGAGGAGGAGGAGGAGGAGGAGGAGGAGGAGGAGGAGGAGGAGGAGGAGGGGAGGTAGGAGGAGGAGGAGGAGGGATTTTTTTTTGCCGCTGCGCTACTCTGCCGCGAGTCGTCGCGGTCCTCCTGGCAGCCAGCCAGGCAGCCGACGAGCTCGGCACTTGAGACGCTGCCAGCGCAGGATTGTTCCGTGCACGCTGGCCGACCTGCCGCAACAGGCCACACGACAGGGCCTTGCCCCCGTGGCAGATGCCAGGAGACTCGCCCGTCGGGCGTCAATCAAATAACCGAACCACGCTGAGAGCATCCACGTCGAGCCAAATCGAATCGCTCTTCGGGTGCTTGCCAGCGAGGAGTCGGTTCCAATAGGAGGCCGACGAGCGGGGACAGTGCGGCTTACCATTGCAAGCTTTGTTGAGATAGCGCACATACCCCCCCGTCGAAAAAGCCTTGCACTTCAGGCAAATACACAACGCGCTGCCGTCGGAGCAAGACAAAGCAATGCACTTATGGCCAAGCTCTATGAGCTTGGTGTCATAGAGCTTGTGGGCACGACGGCAGATACTGTTGGGGGGCCAACAAGACCTGGTCGCCCGCAAACAATGCTTGCACTGCCAGTAGCCGTCCCTATGCACCTAGGAGTGGCGATTCTTGGGAGCAGGCACGACACTCTCCCGCTGCTCGCGTGTGGCCTGAGACAGATCACGCGCGGGCCAGAGCGGGAGCAACTTAGCAGCCAGCACGCACACTTTCTTAGAAACAGAGAGGGCTCGATCGAGCCAGACAGATTGCTCGGGGCTCGGCTTCTCGTGAGCTAAAGCCCCGAGCTTGGCGTAGTGATCGGCTAGGTCATTCCCAGCCTTACAAAAGCGTAGATGAGTGTCCCCCTGGGCCTGCTCCTCGGTCATATGACCTTTGACCTTAAACATTTGGCCCATCTTTGAATCAGCCGTCCAAACAAACATACCAGCATGCACCCGTTTGTAAGACAACTGTTCAGAGCGGGGGAGGGACCAAAGCTGTACAACATTCTGACAGTCACTATACCCACATGAAGGTTCCAGGGCGTTCTGGCAAGCCGCCGTGCACGCGGCGAACTCGCCAGCCTGAGCCGTTTGTGGGAGGGGGAGGGGGAGGGGAGCGTACACATGACCCAACTCTTGCCCAGAATCGGATACCGAAACGTACGACCACCCAGTCCGCGACAGCTCCCGAATGACAGACCTGATGCACGAACCGTCCATGAATATATGACCATTAACAAAATAATCATCGCGACTGGGGTCGCTGGCATGGTATACCGTAGGCTCCGCAACAGTAGGGGCTGGAAAGAAATCTCCAGGATGAGACATAATCCCCGTAGTATACAGAACCTGATCATGCTTCGATAGGGATGACCATGCTGGTGGATGATGCTGAAAGTCATCTCCTAACAGTTCCCGTCGCAGCTCGGCGCAGGACTCGTGCCAGCACTTCCACAACCTGTGGAAAATCGTGTCCCGCTCCTTGCCGCGCAGAGGGCAGAGCAGGTCGGGCATGATGTAGCCGTGCTCTGCCGCTCTAACCTTGGTCCACGGAGCCTGACAGACGAGCCCACGGATACAACCTTTTTCCCACGGCGTGAACTTAGACGAAGCCATCGCTCGGAGCGGCACGTCTAAGCAAGCACGGCGCTCAAGACCAAGGCTGTCGCCGTAGGCACGCTCGTGAGATCTCAGAACGGCGAGGCGCAGCAGACGTTTGAGAAGGGCGGGGGAAACGAGCGTCAACTGAACTTGCACCCCCAAATCATCAACCAAGGTGGAAAAGGAGGGCATCCTCCACCCGAGACGCTCCACCGACAGCCTAAGGGCCCCCACGGGGCCCCCAATCTGCCTCCAGGAGGGGGAGGGGCCCGCAAACACAACATTCCAAGCCCCCCTAAGCTCAGCCAAGCTGAGGCCAAACTCAAAGGAGGCCGTAAGGCTGGCCCATATTTCTTTGGACCAGCGCACGATAGGGGCCACGGCGCAATACCATGCGGGGTCGGCGGCGAACAGCAAAGCTGCGGTCAACGAGCGGCCTCCAGCCGAGGGGCTGAGAAACCGTCCAAGAGAACGCCGCAGACTCGCCAACTCATGGTCGGAAGTGCCGTGCACCTCACAGCCATAGGTCCTGCTGGCCAAGGGGCCACTGGTATATATATATATATATATATATATATGCTTGGCATGTCTCCCCAAAGCATTCATATGAGCCCTCAAACGATGGCATTTGGCTTTGAAGGCCTTTTTCCGAATCTGAATCTTAGGTCCTCTCCTGGCCATCCTCCTTGGCTTGCCTGCCGCGTCGTCAATGCCCAGGTTGACAGCAGATGCGCACGGAGCTCCGCCCACAGCGCCGAGGCCTCGGCGGATCTCCTTAGCCACTAGGGGAACTGAGGCGACCACGGCCGCCTTGCTGACAGAAATGGAACAACCCAGATCGGACTCGATGGCAATCTGCAATCGGAACGCCGCTTCGATCAGGTCCTGAACGACGGCATTGGGAGCCCCCGTGCAAGATAAAGTGTAGTCATCGATGTGCACTCTCAACGAGACCGATCTAGGGATGCTGAGGCCATCTAAGGCCGCAAGCGTGAAGACGCGAATGGAAGTGGTGGCGAATCCACACCCAGCAATCAAGCCTCGCCAAGCAAACTGCGGGCCCTCCACGCGGCCGTTCATGGCCATGTAGCGGCACGAGCGATAGGCCTCGCAGCAGACCCTGGCAATCTGCATAGGAAAGGAATGCTGGTGACAACGGGCAAGGAGCGAGTCGAGGTCAACAGCCTCGTAGAACTTCATAAGATCCCACAAGATAGACCCCGAACAGTCCTTAGAAGCAACCGCAACCTCGCTCCTCACTCCTTGTCTCCAGACGGTATCAACACTGGAGGCGAAAGCGCCAGCGCAGAAGTACTCTCGGGCATTTGCAGCTTCCCACTGCCGAGCAAGGTCTCGCCTAGCGCGGGCCCGCAAACGATGCAGAGCAACGAACAATCCGATCGGGCGGTGCCCTCCATCGGGCATGGCGAGCATAATGAGCAGCACGACTCTCATCTGGCCAGGCAACAAACCCGAACGTTCCCAAATCGACATCATAATCGCAAGCACCTGCAGCGCAGGGTCCGACAGATGCTGAAACGACCGCACGTGAAAACCATCGACAGACGAAGCGGTACGAGCGGGAAACGAACGGGCCGTCCGACGAAGATCCTCGAC